TGGGAGACCTGTAATGCTATTGTTTTGTCATGGATCATAAACAATGTGTGTGAGGAGCTTCTTGGTGGTATTGTGTATGCATCAGGTGCTCATCTCGTTTGGGAGGATCTACGGGAGAGATTCGATAAGGTCAATCGAGTAAGAATTTTTCAATTGCATCGTGAAATTGCAACTCTCTCACAAGGAACTAGCTCAGTTTTAGTCTATTTCACAAAATTAAAGGAACTTTGGCATGAGTATGATGTGTTATTCCCTTTCTCCAATTGTGGATGCCCTAAGTCTAAGTAAAATATGGAACAACTACATCAACAACGAGTTATGCAATTCCTCAGCGGATTGACTGAGTCTTATGATCATGCGAGAAGAAAAATTCTCATGAAGACAACTGCACCTACGCTAAATCAGACCTATGCAATGATTGTACAGGATGAAAGTCAGCAGAGTGTGGGTACTAATGTTGTGACTGACAAAGGTGATCCTTCTTTGGTTATGCAAGCAACATGCAGGGGACAAGGATTTTGAGGCAAAAGGCAATTTCTGCAATGTGAGCATTGCCGGATGATGGGTCACACCAAGGAGAATTGTTACTAAATCATTGGCTATCCATCAAATTTTGTTCCAAAGAAGAAGCAGGGTATAGGGAACTCTGACAACTGGAGAAATACTGGTAATGGGAATCAAAATCATGGTAGAAGAAGGCCAGATAATTGGAGGAGAGAACCCCTTGGAGCTGTGAATCAAGCAGATGTTGGATCATGCTCTCAAGTAGATGAACATGGACAGACAATAGCTGAGAACAAGGGATACTACTTCACTGATGCACAGTACAATCAAATTCTGAATTTACTAAACAAAGATTCTGGTGACCACCAGGTTAACATGGCAGGTAATGTTACTTGCTTGATGTCTAATTCCAACTAAAAAGAAGAGGAGTGGATTGTTGACTCAGGAAAAACTCATCATATTGCCTCTAAATTAGAGATGTTAACTAATACTAGAGCTACAGACAAGTCTAACAATGATAGAGTACATCTACCTACAGGGGGAGGGCTGATATCACACATACTGGTAGTGCATGTTTGCTGGATAAAGAAATAGTGAAAAATATCCTTTATGTACCTGATTTTAGGTTTAACCTATTATCAGTCTCAAAGCTCACAAGAGCATTGTCTTGCAATGCCAACTTCTTTCCTGATTTCTGTGTATTTCAGGACCTCTGCAATGGCAGGGTGAAGGGGATTGGTAGAGAGAGAGGTTGATTATATGTGATTAGAGATGGAAGATTAACTAACAAGCTAAAGGCCATTTGTACAATGAGCAGCCTATGACACATGAGACTGGGACATCCTTCACTGTCAACTATGAAGAATATAAAGGAGTTACATAGCTATGTTAGTAGTATAGCAGAGAATAATTGCTTTGTTTGCCCCTTAGCAAAACAGACTAGGTTGAAATTCCCACTTAGTGATTCTAGAGCTGATGGATTGTTTCATCTTATACACATGGATCACATGGATCTTTGGGACCTTATAAGGTTTCTACATTCGATAACAAGTAATATACACATGGGTACATTTTTTGCAACTAAAGTCTGAAGTGATAGTAGCAATAAAATAATTTCTAAACATGGTTCAAAATCAATTTGGAGTCATGATTAAAGTACTGAGATCAGATAATGGGACTGAATTCTTTAACTCACAATGTGCAGCTTTGTTGAGTAATCTTGGCATCATTCATCAGAGTAGTTGTCCTTATACTCCTCAATAGAATGGTATAGTAGAAAGGAAGCATAGGCATATTCTTGATACTACTAGGGCCTTAAAATTTCAGTGGTCAATTCGTATAAAGTATTGGGGCATGTGTGTGAAGGCTGCAGTGTATTTGATAAATTGGTTACCATCCAACATTCTAGGGGGTAAGGTACCTTTTGAGTTACTACATTGTAGGAAGACTTCTCTCCTTCATCTAAGAGTTATAGGCTGTCTATGTTATGCAACAAATCTGCCCAAGGGAGACAAATTTGCTGAGAGAGTCAAAACAGCAATTTTGATGGGATACTCTGAAACATATAAGGGATATATACTTCTGGATTTACAAACTAAACACTTCTTTACTAGCAGGAATGTTGTTTTCTAGGAATCTAAGTTTCCTTTTGCCAAAGGAAGCACTAATATGAGCAAGGAATCTGAATTGTCTATGTATTCTCCTCTACATATGAAGATATCATATTACAGTAGTACTCCATATGGGTCAAACTTACTAGAAACAACAACAGGTGTAGATCACATAGATGCAGAAGATGATACACAACATGAAGTTGAGGAGGCAAGTTCTGATGATTCTAATACAACATTCCAGGATGCAGAGGCTCAGAATGAGTTGCACCATGAAATGTAGCAATCACTTGAAGAAGAAAATGAAAATGTACTACCAAACACATGCAGGAAATCTTCAAGACAGACCAAGGAGCCACTGTGGATGAAAGATTACATCACTACAAAGAAGACTGCTACCTGCAATTATCCAATTTCAAACTATTTATCTTATGACAAAACATCCTCCAGTTATTAGTGTTATTTGGCCAAGTTCTCTCAACAGGTTGAGCCACAGTCCTTCAAAAAAGTTGTCAAGGACAGTAAATGGATTGAGGCTATGAAGCAGGAGATAAAGGCTTTGGAAGATAACAAAACATGGTGCATAGTTGATTTGCCAGAGGGTAAGAATACAGTAGGCTCAAAATGGGTATATAAGATTAAGTATAAAGCAGATGGGGACATTGAGAGATATAAGGCAAGACTAGTGGCAAAGGGGTATAGTCAAAGAGAAGGATTGGACTATCGTGACACCTTCTCTCCAGTGGCAAAGATGGTCATTGTGAGGTCAATCATAGCACTTTTTGCTTCAAAGGGGTGGAACCTGTTCTAAATGGATGTGTACAATGCCTTCTTACAAGGTGATTTGTATGCGGAAGTTTATATGGAATTGCCTGAGGGATTTAGACAACAAGGTGACTGGAAAGTTTGCAAGTTAATGAAGTCCTTATATGGGCTTAAACAAGCCTCAAGACAGTGGAACATCAAGCTAACAGAAGCACTCCTAAGTGCAGGTTTTGTTCAAAGCAATAATGACTATTCCCTATTCACTCTGAGGAACCGGGAAAAGGTAGTGATTGTCCTAGTCTATGTGGATGATCTTCTTATCACAGGAAGTAATGCAAGCATGAGTAAACAGGCCAAGGATATTCTACACCAGAAGTTCAAAGTCAAGGACTTAGGAGAACTTAAGTACTTCCTGGGAATTGAAGTACTAAGATCCAAGGCTAGCATTTTGTTGAACCAGAGAAAATATGTACTGCAACTCATCTCAGAGATGGGGTTAAGTGGGGCTAAGCCTTCTTGCACACCCTTGGAGGCTAATGCAAAACTCACTTCAGTGGAATATGATCAGGCAAATGGAGTCAAGGATGATTCCCTATTGCAGGACATCAGTGCCTATCAAAGGCTAATTGGAAAGTTGCTATATGTCACCATTACAAGACCTGACATCAATTATGTTGTGCAAACCTTGAGTCAGTTCATGCAAAGGCCCAAGAAGTCTCATTGGGATGTTGCAGTTAGAGTTGTAAGATACTTAAAGGGTGCATCAGGACAGGAAATCTTAATGGCTTCTAATCACACAGTGGAGTTAACATATTTGTGTGATTCAGATTGGGCAGCATGTCCCAACATAAGAAGATCAGTTATTGGTTATGTGATAAAGTTTGGAAGTTCCTTGGTGTCTTGGAAATCAAAGAAACAACAAATTGTGTCAAGGAGCTCAGCTGAAGCTGAGTACAGAAGCATGGCTGCTACAACTGCTGAGATCATATGGTTACTTGGTTTGTTTAAAGAGTTGGGTGTGAAGATTACCCAACCAGTGACAATCCTTAGTGATAGTAAGTCTGCTATTCAGATTGCAGCAATTCCCATACTACATGAATGGACAAAACACATAGAAATCTATTGTCATTTCATTAGAGACAAGATCAAAGAAGGGGTAGTTCAAGCAGCACATGTGAACACAAAGGAGCAGCAGGATGATTTGCTAACCAAAGGCTTAGGAACTGCTCAACATGTGCATCCACTTGACAAGCTTGTAGTGCTTAACATTCTATACCCTCCAGCTTGAGCGGGTATATTGTGATATAGAATAGCACATGTATTAATTAGTCACGTGTCTTTTCTGTTAGATGACAGCTGTTAGTGAGCTGTCCAATAGTTAGTTGCTTAACTTAAAGTTAGTTGGATAGCTTAGGTGTATAAATGTACCGACTATCATCTTCAATAAGATAGTGATTTCATTTCTTCTTCAGTCGACTCTCTCTCTCAGCTTCTGCCATTGTTACACCTCCAAATCTCTTGCATTTTAGCAGTATGGCCCTTTGGTGGATGTTGGTCGAGCTAAGTCCATTGACACTATTTTGCCATTTTGCGAGTTGAAACCCAGTTTGCGGATTAAATCAGTACAAATCTTTTTGTTAATACGTGTTCTCTTATAATTCTAATTGCCATAAGCATAACATCTTGGGCTAAGAATAATACATTAGTGTACCTGTTACGCAGATATCAAGTAAATGTCCCCCGAGGTTTAAATAAATGAAAAAAAATCGCTTAGTATTTTTTGTCTTTGCGAAATGAAATTAACTCTCCGTACTTTAATCCAAGCTTGATTGATCACTAGACTACATCCTTGGGGTGCAAATTTAGTTATTCGCAAGCGTTATATTGATGACAGTACAAGAATCAAAACCTTTTATGAAGCTGTAGAAGATTATCATGCTAGAGGTATTAGTATTACTATCCCAAGACCAGCTGCCACGCAAGAACCAATAGAAAGGATTTCGACGCCGCTCTCGTCATAAGAAGCAGAACGCGCCAACACCTACAGCCCTTTCTTTGAGCTAATCAGATCAACTGCCGAAACCCCCCACCCCCAAAAATAAAAAAATTATCTTGCTCTGGAAAATCAACAACTCATGATGCATATGTTATTAATAAGGTTAATGCATTGTACAATGAATGAATTATAATAGAAGACCTTAAGTCTCCACTCCAGCAGTAACAGCATCCAAGGATTAAGCCTATGATGAACAACTGTATGAAATTTTCAGCAGAGAAGTGAGCTGCACTAAAAACAACTGAGCTAACAATGACTGCTTGCTGCCATTTCATTGTGGAGGAAAGAGCAGTCAAGAAGAACCCTCTGTACACAATTTCTTCTAGCGAGGGGGTGATGATACAGTAGACCAGGATGCATGATGTTATCGAGATTGGTCCACTCGAAAGAATTTCCTTCAAGATTGGATTGTTGACTTCCTGCAAAGTTCATCAAACAACGACGTTCTAGATTTATTACATCATACAGCAAAGAAGAACAAGTCAAAGTGAGATAGTAATAGGAATATAGACAAGAAAATGCATCTGTGCATGCACCTTGACTTCATCTCCCGTTCTAGGTCCAACTAAACCAATATAAGAGGCAAGAAACTCAATCAAATACATGTATATTTATAGGCATGTTCGTTTCTCAAACTCAACTAAACTTTTCTGGTGCTTTAGTTTTGCATACCTCTAATTCAAAACATCTGCTGCTTTAGCTTCCTCATCAGTCATTCAACTAAAGCTTGTATTAATTCCCATGTAACGTCCACAAGAATCAAGTGCAGGGAAATCCTTCCCCCCAATTTTACTATCTAAACATGCCAACATGTCAAATACAATTCAGTAGTCCTAAAAGTAAGGCAATTAAAGCCAAAGTAGCAAGTGTGTTCAAAGAACGCAACACAAGTTGGGTCATATAAAGAGTAAGAAGGCATGCTGAGACGTTTATCACCAGGGAAAGTAAGGTCAGTTCTTAAAGATTTGCACTACCTGCCAACCCTGGTTAAAACTTTCAAAACCTCAGTAAGAATATGAGGTTGCTTTATTGCATAGGTTAGTCGCAAGAGGGTATTCAGAATTTCCGTATTATCTAATTATCATGATAAAGTGACATGGAATAATAAATCATGATTTTTGTCCTCTTTCTTTTCTTCTCCATCTTTTATTTCAAGGTGAGTTAATGCAATAAGCATTTCAACTTTCAATTTGATATTGCATCTGAAAAAGGAAACATAAACAGCTTACCTTGGTACCTATCAACCAGTCAACAATAATTGAAGTGGTGAAAACCAACAGAACCAGGAACCCAAAGCCAAGAGCTGACACAAATAACCAGTTCCTTTCTTTTGCTGATCGCTTCTCTTGAAAGAAATCACGAAGCTTGTATTGGGGCTTCCCAGGACATCTTAAAAGAAGCAGAACGCCGATAAGCTCTAACGTCTGAAGTGCAACTAAGGATAATGCCTGTGGTGAAAAAAGTAAGGACTGTATATAAGTTGTGAGCTAAGGAAAATAAACAAGTAAAGATACCATCAGATTTATTACAGTAATAAATTAATGGACTATTTGCTAGTTGAGAAAAGTTTAGACGTTTTGAGTGCTACCCAAGTGCGATAGACTTCATTTTTGAGTTCCACAAAAGTGGTCACGATGTTGGTTCGATTGAATTAATTTCTAACAGAAAAAGAAGCAAAAAAAAACACAAGAGAAATTATGCTTATATCTCTTGAACTTAATCATAATTCATCAAACCAACCCACAACACTAGAACAGAAACATTCTAATAATGTTATGTACAAATCTTATTCACCTCGGTCTGTGGATCAAGAGCTGAACAATGCAATATACTGGTAACAGCAGATAAGCCGCCAAAACTCAAAGGGACGTGCACACTGAAAAGATAGAAAGCCATACTGCTCCACAAACTCCCCCCATCACAAGGATTATCTGATTTAAGGACCGAGAAGCCCTGTTAAATTGAAAAACATATATCTGAATGACAATTTTGTACAAATTTTGGAATAGAAAACTGAATACAAGCTTAGATTTATCACTAATCATTTCGGGACTATCCATTATCATGTTAATTAATCACTGGTATTTTTTCGAACTTAAATATGCAAGTTAATTGTTTTTCAAGAGTGTTTGATTGGGTTTTCAGTCATGTTAACCCACATATTGGAGATTCCTTTTCCAATTTGACTCAATTTATTAGTTACCCTGTAGAATCTAAATCTACATGAAATGCGCTGACTAACTCAAAAGCTCAAAATGTCACATGCCCACATCATGGAGTACTGAGAACCCAATCGATCCGCTTAACACACTCCATTATTCACTTTCTTCCCTATTCTTGCAGGTTACGTCTCTCTCTCTCTCTCTCTCTCTCTCACGACTAACCACCTGGCAGCCTATCCAGCCGGCCAACATAGGTTGCCAGGGTAATCCGACCCACAAAAGATGAACGGATGGATTGACATCAATTGTTAAAACTGAGACTAGAACCTGAGACCTCTTTACTCCCATGCCTCAACCACTAGCCCACCCCCCTCGAGATTATATTCAGTTCAAACATAATTTATCTCATGGCTTTAACACTTAGGTCCTGCTTGGGGTTTACCATCTTTTTGGAGTTTTGATCTTTTCAAAATTGCGAGCATCAAACAATTTGCCACGATGAATCAATGATAACTCCAAGTCATCTGTTATGCAAATTAGCTTTCTGCTTCCTGTTCCAAAGACAGTCTTTTATTTCAAGTTACCTATTTCTGGACAACAAATCGCAGCAATGTGATCCATAATCTGTCCACACTTCTTTTGTGGTTCTATTATAGCCTTCTATGTTTGTTCCTGTTTAGCATCAGAAAAAATCCTAAATCTTTGCATTTATGAAATAAGGCGGCTCTAAGCAAACTTAAATGCGAGTACCCGAGGCACCTCATCCTCTCATTCCATTGTTGCTCATTCTCTTTAGGCTGAAGTGTTTGGTACAAATTCTCCATAGGAAGTTAGGAACACCAAGAATTTAGAGTCTGGTCCATCCCTTTCCTCACTAATGACTTAATGATAACACGTCAAAATGCTCAAATTATCTGAAGTTTCACCACAGTTGTCATTAAGGGTAGATGGTCTTAAAACAAGTCACAAGTTTCTCAGCAACTATGCAGCTGCAGAGTTCCAAACTACTCCCTTTTTCATCTTACTCTATATACTTCCACCGCCTACAGATCTAAAGCGAGGCAATGGGTGTTGCGGAAGCTGAATATATAGAGAGTGATTAAATCACAACTACTATATCTAAAGGTAGTTAATAAATAGTAAGTGAGACAATAATAAAAAAAATACCAGAAATTAACGAGGTTCGGCAAAATTTGATTTTTGCCTAGTCCTCGGATACAATCAACTCACACTTTATTTCACTCCAAAAATACAAGTGAAATATTACAAGAGAGAAAGAAGATTCAAATGCCTTAGGAGATAAGAAGGCAAGTGAGAGATGTTTAGAAATGAACAAAATCCTTGCTATTTATAGGAGGGAAATGACCTTAATAATATCATGCATGACATCACATTAAGTGTGATCATGCAATGTAAATGCATGAAAAAATGCGTCTACCAATTTCCTCCTAAAAGGAGACTTCCAAATGTTCACACTAGTTCACATTAATCTTGTCAAATTCAACAATGGGTTCAAGTGAACCTATTGTTTTCAGCTCAAGTCACATAAGCACATGAAAAAAAAAGTAGGCAGATTTTCAATAGTTTGGATGAACTCGTAAACTCTAAATCCTAGATAAGCCTCTACTCCACCTCTTTTCACTTCTAATTCATCTAATTAAGCTACTAGATTTAAATTGTAACACCCTATGCACCAATAGAAAGTAAAGAAACTTCCCTAGACATTTTCATTGTTTATTGTTGTAGTAGTATTGGACTTTCCTTGTCTTTGGTACTTAAAGACTAAAAAATGACCAAAAAACTTATACATAGAAATCTCAATTTGCCAATTATACTCAAAGACATAACCATCCTACATAAATGTTCTCTGTTTACCATCGAAATTACCATGCTTTCTTTTCTATCAATTTTCTTTAGCTCTGTTTAACTTAACAATGGACAAATGTAAGGCAAAAAAGTTAAGTTTTTGAGTTTCTTCTAGCGAATATGTGTTAGAGAAAAGAGGTAGTGAAAGGCAAAGTACCTCGGAAACATTTTGGGTGTCCTTGTTTTTAATGCAACGACACTTGGGATAAGTTCTTGTGCGAAAGAACTTGGAAGGGTACAAATGATTGTGAAAATCTTGGCTCAACTTCACAGATGAAACACAAATGGTAGGTGCACGGACCACTAACCCGTTCATGTTTCCCACACCAATTTGAGCTCAACGCGAGGGTAGAGACTAGCGGCGTCGCGCGGTGGCTGGGTTAGGCCAGAGAATGGCTGTCAATGCTTGTCGCGAAGCTGAATAAATGGTCGGAAAATATTTTCGAGAAAATGATTCCCTTAAAAGGAAAATAATCATAAAATATGATAAATAGAGTTTCGATGATATTTGTAAAAGGCAGAATAGCCTAATAAACACTTGTACTTGTCCCATTTTATCAAATCGGTCCCGATATTCTACGAAATTTCATCCAGACACTCGTAATTTTTAAAACACATTACTTTAAACCCTTTCAGTCTCGCGTGTTCTTCAAACACACGATGTGGATGACACATCATAGTCCACATCAAATTTTTAATGACACATCATTCTTTTTTTAACTTTAATTTCAAAAATTTAATTTTTTTCCGCTCTATTCCTCCCCACCCTTGACCAACTATTGAAAACATCAAACATGGCATCTTTCGTCTTATATTAGTCTCTTTGATAGTCAAACATGTCCCTCTATCATATGAAACAAGGCGCCTTCACCAAAATCAACTTTGTTAGAGAGCCATAAGCTTGCAATGGATCCCTTAAATTGGTTTAAACTCGTTAATCTGAGATCCTTAAACCAAGTAGTTGAAGCTAAGAAATCTTGGTAGATAAGCTGCTTGAGCACAAAAAGAGGGGAAAAAATCAAGACCTTAGATAACCAAGAAAAATAAGGAAATGCAGACAACTTCTTTGCCATTAATGAATGAAGATATTAGAACATTTTTTCAAAATTTGAATCTTGGAAAGAGGGGAATCTAATCCTATAGCTTGCATATTACCATCTTTACCGGCGGCAACACCACGGTGGACAACTAAACTAACACCTCACCATAAACTGCCCAAAAAATTAGATTTTCAGCTTCTCTCATCAAATAAAATTCTACCATTAAATATTCGCTCCACCACCTAAGAATCTATTAATCCTGAAATAATTGTTACCCAAACCAGATTTAATACCGCCAATAGACATAGATCTCATTCATCTCAGAAATATTAATGGTGATTGCTCTTCAAAAAATATTTACTACTATTTTTTTTTCAAATATTGACAGAAGGTTTGTGAAAATGGGGAGGGGAATAACGGAAAGGAATAAGGGGAGAAAGAGAAAAGAAAAATAGAGAAGGGGAATAACGGAAAAGGAATAAGGGGAGAAGATAAAAGAAAAAATGGAGGAGGGGTGGGGAAAGAACGGGAAAGGGGAAAGGTAGAAAGAGAAAAAGAAACGGGGGAGGGGGTTGGGGAAAGAAGAAAGAACAAATATATTTAGTTTTTTATTGTATTATTTTTTTGTCTTTTACATTTACTTTTTATTTTTACTTTTTCTTCTTATTTTAATCATTTTGAGTCTAAATTTTTTAGGTTTACTCTCGTTATACACGTGAAGTTCACGTATTTTGTCCAAGTCGATCATGAACTTGCCACGTATGCTTGGTCAACGGTCAGAGGAGTTTAAAGTAATGTGTTTTAAAAACTACGAGTGTCTAGATGAAATTTCGTAAAGTATTAGGACCGGGATGACAAAACGGGACAAGTAAAAGTGTTTATTAGGTTATTCTGCCATTTGTAAAAAGATACTCCGTAGTAGACAATATTGTTCAAGTGTTAACTAGAACAAGTGAGGTAAAGTAAGACTTTGAAATATTTACACAAATAATTTATTTATTTTTGGTCTGTGAAGTCGCTATAAAGCTACAGAATATGAAATACAGTCAAACGTCTCTATAACAGTCTTGTTTGTTTCGATATTTGTTATACACCTACAACAACATTTGACATTTAAATATTTTTCGACTGTTATAGATAAAACTAATCCAAAAATTAACTATTTTTCTTTTTTTAATATTACATATAAAAGATAAGAAAATTATTCAAATTTAAAATCTTAGAAGATATGCATAGTTCACAGGTAAATATTGAAGAAAACTAATACATTATTAATAAATTCATAACTAAACATACAAAGATTTAAACTCTAAGGCACAAATTTTAAGGAAAATAAATTTTTTCAAGATTGATGGAAGAACTTTGTACTTGTAGCTGTTTCGTCGATTTCATTCTCTTACTATCGATATAACGCTTGAATTGACGAAGATTTGTGTTCAAATTTTTACCAAAAAGGTATCCAATGAAAAATATATCATATGCAAATCTTCAAATCTTATGTCTTATGCAAGATAGAAACTTTGTATAATGGAAACGATTGTGTGTATATTTTTTAGAATTGTTATTAGTAATTTTAAAGATTCTATATGGTTGTTATAGAGGGATAAATCTACAAAGAGCGTTCTGCTATAAATATGGTTGTTTCTGTTATAGGTAAGAAAATTATTATAAAGAGGTAAAATATAACTTAAAAATTAATTTTAAAATAACTTGGCTTTTATAGTGAATGACTGTTATATAGGATGATGTTATTTAGAGGTGTGACTATAATATACAATTGGGGTTAAAAGTATAGAAAAACAATTGTGAACACCCCTTCCGGATCCAACCAACCATGGGAGATATTTTACACTTCAAGCATTTCCATTATTCTAGTAACTTTGGGAAAATAATTACTCCCTCTGTTTCAATTTGTTGATAACAACCTGTCATTCAAATTAATTTATTTATTTTAAAGAAGTTATATACTAATGTAGAAATTAATCTCTTATACCATAAATGTAATTTAACTTGTTATATCATGTCACTTATCATTTATAATAGATAATAAACCAATAGAATTAAATTAAGTTACCTTCAAATAATTTTTTAAATGATTGAATTATATTAAATAATTTATTATACTATATGTGCATAGAACTTAAACTCTTTCTAGTGAAGGTGGACACTAATAATAATAATATATTACTAACACTATTGGAAAATGGCAGAATTCAGACCGCCAAAACGGTCGGAAATCACGAATTGCCGACTACTTTTCGATCAAAATTGGTCGGTCAGAAAACAGTTGGTCGGAGAATAATTTCCGACCGAATTCGTCGGTGATTTTCGACCAAAGTAGTCGGAACGTTCAAAAGGTCAAACGACCAAATATTTTCAAATTTCCGACCAAAGTGGTCGGAATTTACCGACCGAATCAGTCGTAATAATATAAATAAAAATAATTATTTATTTAAAATTAAATAATATAAATATATAATTTCCGACGGAATCGATAGGAAATTAATAATTAAAAAATAAATTTTATTTAATTTCCGACGGAATCCATCGAAAATGTTTAAATATTAATTTATTTATTTTAAATTTTCGACCGAATCGGTCGGAAATCTGGGAATTTTTGGTAAAATCTGGGCAGTTGTCCGACTGTTTTCGTCGGAAATCAGTCGGAATTTTCTGTAAAACTGGGCAGAAGTCTGCCCAATTTTGAGCTACACCACATGTCAAACTATTACAATACAATAACGCCAACAACCAATCAACCATTAACACAATCTAAACCAACAATACCAACCATTAACACAATCTAAACCAACAATACCAACCATTAACACAATATAAACCAACAATAACCATTAACACAACCTAAACCAACAATACCAACCATTAACACAACCTAAACTAACAATACCAACCATTAAATCTAACAATTTTGGGCATAAAAATATCCAAATAGTAGTCCACATTCAAGTTTAAAAATAAAACATAAAGTTGTATTTCACAGTCAAGTTTACCAATCAACTAAAACACCACACCTAAACTACTACACATCAGATTCAGTTTGTTCATAGATCATGCCCATATTTTCTCATGAATTTCTGCTTCTTAACAAATGTTTCGATTTGGGAGTTCAATTGTTGCTCCCGAATTTCCTTTCTCATATCAAAATAGCGTTATGATAATTGCAATTATCTCAACGCTATTTTGATGTTGCTAGTCCGTGGATATTAGTCCTTTTCATTTTATGCTGAATT